AGCCTCTATGGACCATAGCGGGGCCCAGGACTCTTGCAGCCTGCACCCCTGCAGAGATGGGGTGCCCACTGCCACCAAGGTAGCCCATTCTGTCTTTGGGCATCAATTACTGTCGGAAAGCTGCTCCTCAGGCTGAGCAGAAACCTGCCTCCCAGGGACACCTGCCCCTGGGTCCCGACTGCTTGTCTGCCAAACAGGCCTTCGAGTGATGGAGGGGGGCTAATTAAGCTTCTTTGAGCCCCCTGTTCCTTCCTTGCAAAGCAGAGTCAGTATTATCACTCCCTTCCCACCACACAGGGATGATAGCACAGACGACCTAGATCAAGGCCAGTGAGGAGAGGGGGCACCAAGCCAGGCCCCCTGTCCTTGGTGGATCCTTTACCTTTCGAGGCAGCACGGTCCATATTTTAGCAGTTCCAGAAGAACACACTTGCTTATTTGGGGCTCAAGCTGCCCTCCCCCACTATGTTACAGTTGCAGCTGGGGAAGGGGCTCTGGGTGGCAGGGGGAGTAGGAGGGGTGGGGGATGTCCAGCCAGGGAAGCAGGAAGGAGGTGGTTGCCTGAGTTCCTGGGTTTCTTTACCCTGCCCCCTACCAGCTTGCTCCTGCAATCCTTAACCTGGAGGGGAAAACAGATGGGTCCTTTGGCCAGTGGGGCGGGATGAAAGTGTCCTGTTTGCTAGTGGTTTGGGGGCTGGCTGAGAGCCAGGCCTTGAGGCCTCACCTGGAAACTCTCCTGTAGGCGTTATCATTGCTGATAGGGCTACTCACGGGGCAAAGCCTGGGTGGCTGGATAGGTTGGGGGATGGCCAAGGGCAGCTCTGCCCCACCCCTACAACCTCCTTCCCGCCTGGCTCCAGCCCCGCAGGCTCCCCACAGGATGGCACCCTGCAGCCTTTTGCCCAGCATGCAACAGCAAATGCTACTTGCTGCTCATTGTCACTGTGCTTGGCCACCATTTGCAGGCGCTTCCTGTGTACCCAGTGCCATGCTCCAAAATGCTCAACGTGAAGCTGGGCTCTCACCCCTCCAGGGCGGCAGTCAGTCCTGGGAGGACAAGGTAGTTCTCAGGGCTAAGGGCCAGCCCTGGAAAGCTGCTCCACACCCTGGCCTCCCGGCTCTGGCAGCTCGACCATCGGATGGCAGTAGGATGGGAAGCATCTCTACAGGCTGGATGATGGCTGGCACCTAGGTCCTCATCTGTCTGTCCAGCTGTCAGAGATTGAGTTGGGTCTTCTTGCTTATTACCTGCTGTTCCCACCAGGGCCGTAGGATCTGGTAAGAGGCGCCCTTCTTTGTCTCTCTGATCCAAGCCCAGCTTGTGTACCTATGCTCTTCTTGCCTGGGGATGCAGCATCTGGGCTACCTCCCCCAAAGGGCCCAGTCACATTCATCTGTGGGATCCTGCCAGGACCTTGTGTGGTGGAGGGCATCTGAGCAGACAGCCCCCGACCCCTCTCTGCTTCTGCTGCCTCAGAGACCACATCTCCAGGTCGGAAAGCAGAGCTGGCCATGGGGCTCGGCCCCCGCCTGAGTGGCCGGCTGTGTGAGCCACATCAACCTTGGGATGACATGGAAGATGCCAAATGTCTTAAGTCTGTCCGGGCCGCAATAACAAAAATACCATAAACTGGGCAGCTTATAACATGCGTTGCACAGAGTTCTGGAGGCCCCGGCTGTCCAAGATGAGGGTGGCAGCACGGCTGGGTTCTGGGGAGGGCTCTCTTCTGGGGTGCAGACTACCTACTTCTTGCTGTGCCCTCACATGGCGGAAGGGGCAAGGGAGCTTTCTCGGGCAGCTTTTGTAAGGGCACCAATCTCACTCAAGAGGGCTCCATCCTCATGACCTAATCACCTCTCAAAGGCCCACCTCCTAATACCATTGCCTCGGGAGTCAGGTTTCAACCTATGAATTTGGGGGAGTATGCCAAATTCAGTCTTATAATCCGAGGTGGGGGGCAGTGGTGACCACAGCAACCCCCATAGCTGGCCTCAGGCAGAAGTCAAAATCCCAGCTGGGCAGAGGTGAGGATAGCAGGGAGCATCTGGTCAAGGCCCCAAGGGGCCGGAACCGAGCGCTCGGCAGGGCGGGGCTCTCCCAGGGCTGCGGTGTTACCATTCTGAGTTGGCCTCAGAGCGCACAGGCCATGAGTGCTGGGGGGTCTGGAGAAAGTCTCCTGTGCGGGATCTGGGTGTGTTTCTGGGTCATTTCTTCTGCTCCTTGGGGTGGGACAAAGGAAGGCGTTTTCATCCAGGGGTCAGAATGGGCAGGTCAGGCAGATAGGCTGTTCAAACAAGCACACGCCTCTGGGCTGTTCTCTGCGTGGAGGCAGCTGACCGCCTGGAGCTTGGACCTTGGGGCAGCCCCAGCACTGGGACCTGGCAGAGGACTGAGCGGGAAGGGCAGGGCCCAATGGGACGGCAGGTCCCTGGCCGCGCCAATCAGCCCAGTTCTCTGGGTTTTGAAACAGACTATGGAGAGGAGTGGTCTGTGAGTAGAGAAGAGAATGAAAAGTGGAGCGAAGGCGAAACTTCTGCAGGTTCCGGGTGACCTGATTCCTTAGTCCGGTGAAACTGTCCTGGGAGGAGGAAGAGGGAAGGGAGAGGGGCTGGCCTTGACTCAGTTGTCAGACCACTCAGAGAAGGTCCCAGTCATGGCCCGACTGGGTCTTAAGTCTGGAGCTACGGGGGTTCTGCGGTGAGGGCCAGGCCTAGGGGTCTCTGATGCTGGTGCTTGGCTAGCACGGGCCTGGGGACAGTTCTCCCATGGCCTCCTGGCTGGTTGCTAAAGCTGTTTGACTTTTTGGGCCCAAATCTGGACAGACTTGACAGACTCCAAAGAACAGCCTGTGCCCCAAAGCCAACTGTAGTTGCTGGGATAGTCCACCTGTCTCTACCCCTCTGTCTACCTTGGCTTCCAACATCAAGGGTCCTCTACCTTCCAGAGTCTCCTCCAGCAATGCCCCAACCCAGGATTTCCCCCAGGAGACAGCCTGCAGGCCAGTCACAAATCTCTAGCCAGAGCCACCCCAGGCTTAGGGCCCTGGTCTGTGGGTACTCAGGGCTGATGGTGCAGGCCCTGGGCTATGGGTACTCCCTCAGCTGGGAGAGGAGGGGAGTGATGGAGGAGCAGAAGCAAAGGAAAGAGAGTAAAGCCCCTCCAACTATAGGTCCCAGCGCCCCATCCATCCAGGATGCCAATTCACAGGCATGGCCACCAAATTCCAGCTTGATCCATAATTGCTTCCTGTGCAGAGATGCCATTCCTTTTTTTTTTTTTAATAAAAATTTTATTTATTTGAGAGACAGAACGAGAGAGAGCACAAGCATAAGGGGGGGGCGGTCAGAGGGAGAAGCAGACTCCCTGCTCAGCTGGGAGTCTGATAAGGATGCGATCCTGTGACTCCAGGATCATCACCTGAGCCGAAGGCCTTCACTTAACCAACTGAGTCACCCAGGTGCCCGCAGAGATGCCATTCTTAAATAGATTGTAAACTCCTCAAGGGTGGGTCTATGACTTGCAGTCCTTGGCTCCTCCTCTCCAGAGTAGCAAGGTGGGCCTAATAAGCACTCTCTACCCAGTACCTGGATAGGAGTCCCCACCAGCAGGAGCTCCCTATAAGCCCCTGCCTGACCGCCGGTGTGAAATGAGGGGGCAGCTGGACTGGGCATGGGCTGGGCTCCCACTCCACCTCCTGCCAAGGCCTGGCTCCCGCAGCTTTCCCTGGCCAGGCCAGGGAGGGAGGGCAGAGCAGGTGGGGAACTGGCTGGGAGGTGTAACTTGAGCCGGGAGGAATTCCCTGCCCTTCCTCCATGCTTTTATTAAAGTAGGGCGGGGAAGGGCAGGCTTCCATCGGAAAAATCTCCCAGGCTGCCGGGGGAGGTGGGGAAGCCGCCGGGGGGCTGGGAGGGAGCACCGGCCCGGCTGCAAATAGAAGGCACTCAGGCCCACAGCCCGGGCTGCGGGAGGCTCCAGGCCGGCCCAAGGGCACCGAGGCCCGAGCCTACCGGGGTTGGCACAGAGGCGCGTCTCTCCTCCCACCCCCTCACTCCTGCCCAGTCCCACCCCTCTCCTAGTCCGGGGCAGGGAGTCGGGTCTTAGAAGTCTGGACAGAAGGGACCCAGCTTTTACTGGGGCAACGAAGCTAGCGTCCTCACTGTCCGTGCTCGGGAGGACCGCGCTGGGCGACCCCGTGGGAGGCGGCGTGTGGTGGTGGGGTTGCTGGTTGGACCCCACTCTGCGCCCAGGAGGCCGCGCCTGGTCACTAGCGGGACCCATCCGGAGACGGGGCTCCGGAGGGACGTCAGGCGGGCTCCTGATAACACGTTCGGAGTGTGCTCTCTCCGACCCAGGCCTCGCGTAGGGGCGCTAGTGGAAGAAAGCGCCGGGGGGAGACAGGATCTTTCTCGGACCCACCTGGCCATGGGGCGGCTTCCGCGCAAGAGCCCAAGGAAGTCGCCAAAGCGCCCCGCAACCCGAGACTGCGCTCTCGGAGGTTCGCACCCCTTCCCCCGCTCCCGGCCCGCCGCGCGCGGCTCGCTGTCACCCAGACCAGAGGCTACCGAGGCGGGAGAGCTGCCCGCTCCGCCCGTGGTCCCCCCAGGGCAGCCCCCTCCCCACTCGCTGAGAACGTCACGGCGCGCCCGCAGGACTCTCGAGGAATCAGCCGCGCGGGGAGAGGGAAGGAGGGGAGCGAGGGCTGGGGGCAGCAGAAGCGACTCCCGGGACCCGGGCTGGGGCGGATCAGTGACCGGGGCAGGGCCGTAGGGGTCGAGTGGGCGCGAGTCCTACACCCTCCAGGATTTGGGATGAGGTGCGCCGCAGAGGGCGAGCTGGGGAGGGGCAGCTAGGTGGCCCCTTTCTTCCCTGCCCCCCATCTCTAGGACGGGGGCTCGTCTCCGCGCCCTCCACCCCTCGCCCCAGGCCGCGGGCGTGGCTCCCTCCCGCCCCCCCCCAAACCCCCAGCCCGCCGCGGAGGAGCCGGGCGGGGGGTCCTTACCTCGGCTTTGACTTCTGCGTCCTCCGCCGCCGCGCCGCGGCCCAGGAAGCCCAGAAGCACCAGGAGC